TATTAGTATCAAGCAGTGTTGTAGAAAGAACTGTTGTTACATTGGAACCGATGATAGTGTCTGTCAAATGCTCATATTCACTTGTTATGAAATGATGACAATGACATTATTGTTGTGAGTTGCGCTGCAGATGTGGATAATGGGGAAAAACAATCTACCTGACATAGTTGTCTTTTTCCACGTGAAGATTTTTTTCATGTCTTCAATGCTTTCCCATTGTTCATGAGATCCAAGCAGCCCCTTGCGCGTGAGTTCAATACCACTGAAGTAAGACAAAAAGGTATCCAGAATATATGATTAAACATTATACTGATATTATTGTTTCAAATTTACTTTTTGTCTCAAAACATAGAAAATGTGACTATAATCGAGCCTGGTTGTGTCCATTTTATACTTTGTAGACCTACGTTTCCCTGTTCACACTATCTACTTGGTTTGATTTGGACTTAGAGAAGCGGATTTCAGCTGGGAGATCAGACACTTTATTGAAGTGGCTGATGTGGTTTAATCCTTCAGCCACATATTTCCACCTGAAAAACAAAACCCACAACAAAAACCAAAGTTAGCAAAAGGCACGTATACATTTCTCCAGATGAACTTCTGAGACCATAACAGCAGCTCCTGGTACATACTGTACTGCACACATAAAAGCTTACTGGTAAAGGCTCTTCTTAAGTATCAGCTCCTGTTTGCGATGGTCAATCAACATGGGATGGTCCTCCTCAAAAGCCTTCAAGGCTGAGGCATGAGAAGAATATAACATCAGTAAAGTTTAAAAAAATTGACAAACTCAACAAACCCAATGTGTGAAAAGTAGTGATATCTATAAATCTCAAGTATCTTTTATCAAATATTTTGGGAACTTGAAGCAGACCTCTCCCTCCTCTCAGCTCCACCAGTTCTCCTCTGGAGATCCATCCGTAACAGGGGAAAAGAATGGCTTCTCCTTCAGGAGTCGTCACCACTATTTTGGAGAAGTACCACTCATCTTCTGGGAGGATCAAAAAAGGATCTTTCTCCACCTTGACCAGCAGAAGTTTCCCCAGAGACAAATTGGTGCTAATGGTGTAATTCCCTGTCTGGAAATAAGCATTAATATGAATTTAAACAAACAAATACATTATAATACAGTTTAACATGTATGTTAGAGTGTTGTCAATACACATTTAACTGATAATATTTAATATAACATGATATACGTAAGTGTCTAAGGAGTACAAACGTCCACACAGACCGGACAGTCTCGGACAGTTTCTTAAATAGTTATTTTGATATAAAAACATTTGGAAACCTTGATCATCATCTAAGTACATGATGATAGACAACCATGCCA